ATTTTGTTTTTCTGAGACTCATTCTCTATAAGCCCCAACTGTTCAGTAGATCGCGATCCACTGGCCAAACGTGCTTGTTCGCAGATTCGGGGTAGGAGATCATTCAATGCGTTCTTCAAGCCATTCACATTGCTTTATGACAGCAGTAATCACTCTTATTTTCCTCTCGTTATTTTTTTCCAACATGAGTGCATTGATCATTGCGGGCAGTGTAAAATCCAGCGGATTTGATGGTGTTCTCAAATCTATGAAAAATTGTCTACCCACTAGATATCCCCGCCGTCCTCGTCAAAAATTCCTTTGTAAACGATGACAGTTTTTTAATATGTCAGAGCTCCACAAAATTTGCTGTTCCAGGAGGTAAACATTGCTAATACAACATCATTTGAAACTTTTCACGCGGTTTTTCTATAGCTATTTACCAACCTTTTCTTTGTCCCTAAACTCGGCTGATTTAGAGACGTGAGAGCCCTTGTTGTGACAGTTGTTGCATTTGAGAGGCCGCGTTCAAAGTTCATGACTTCGGACGTCAGGATAGTAGGCGGCAGCATGTTAAAATAGTAGAACATTTGGAAATTAAACTGAAGATTCAGATACGATCAATTGAGAGAATAGGGTATGGCGTTTCTAATCGGAATGATCAATACGTATGTAACTTCAGCGCAATCTCTCAATCTTTTACTCTCCTAATCTCCTGTTGTCTTTTACTTCATCGTATTCTAGTACTCCTCGGCGGAATCAATCGTAAATATTCTTTTTAGTGGAATATCCTATTCTGTTACTGTGCTATTCCACTGATCTCCTGATCCCCCAATTAATAAATGTCTTTCATTATTGCTTCTATCCTAATCTCCAATGTCGTGAACTGTGAACACCTGAACCATCACTGATGTTAAGTGTGATACTATTCCGAATCCTCTGGTGGTGTAAATATTCACCGACGGCACGACTTCTCAAAATTTATTTGAAGTCATCAGTAAAACCTATCTCCAGAAAATGAAAAAGGAAGATTTGAATCTCATCTGAGGCCAAGTGGATCCTGGTTTGGGGACCCCTATACCTAGCGCATTATTTCGCCCAAAAGGTTTTGAACCCATAAGTTTAGCGTTGTCCAGCTTCCCTTCCCTGGTAATCGGAAATGAAAGCGCGCCTTTATCTGCGCTTAGTGACCTTGGTGTCCTGTTCCTACTTAGTCACATCAAATGCATTACCGTAATTGTGGAATGCCAACCACATTGCTGCTTAGTAACTTCGATTCTTGTAAAACCCAGACTTAACACGCCCCCGGTCTAGTGTGCACTTCCCGATTCATAGCATTTGAGAAAAAGATATCTGAAAATTTAGAACCTCTGTTTTCAACTATTGATTGGTCATCAAATTTCCTGGCGGCTAGGTAGATCTCCCGCTTCGCTCGCGCTGTAACTGGTACGAGTAGCAGTAAGCGGCCCCAGATGAAAATTCTCCGACGGGAGTTCTGACAACCCCACAGTTCGCCATTCGCCCAGCACGCATAGAAGCTCACTGTAAGGCCTCACGGCTGAAGGACGATACGCGCCTATTTCTCCTGTCAGGATACCTAGTCAAGCATTTAACTGATGGACAAAGCTGTCAGACAACCACATTACAAAGGCGTGGTGCAGAGTCGCCGATCCTCGCCCAGGTTCGCCCGAAATTGAGCGCCGGATCGCGTGACTCCCCCCTGACAGCCAGCCTGAGCTATTCGTATTGCCGCTTTCTCCGGCCATTGGTGCTCACATCAATTTCTCGGCCAATCTGCTCACTCAAGTCTCGCTTCGTGCTTGTAGATCGAATCGTAGTCGCAGCAAACCTGCAAAAGCACTTACGGTCCTGCATAAATCCGCGAAGAAAATCTTGAAATAATAAGATTGCGACAAGCAGCGGAAATGAAAAGTATGAGTTTGATAGCGACGCATGGGACGTCTCTCGCAAGCGCTTCGGGATGACACTATGTTCCTCTCTATTAATGAGAACGAGACTGGAAAGTTCATCAAGTTGTGTTCGCAATTTCATTTGACAAGATTACTGTGAACAAATTGTTTTTGATAAACAAGCTCCTGACTTCGTGCCCAGCAGCACTCCGAACATTTTATGGTTGGTTTGTGGAAGCTTCGACATAGCGCAATAAGGTGTAGGGGAGTGATCATCTGAGCCCATCGTGGAGACCAGGTCCTGCATTGTGCATATTGTCCCATCTTCTTCATTACCCACATTCAAATCCTTGCAATGAAATGGCTGTGGGAGGAATGCGCCGTGTGGTTTTTAGTGATCAGTGTAAACTTCAGCGTTTGATGGGGGTGTTCTTTTCAGTAATTGTAAAGCCATTAATTTTTTGCAGTGGCTCTCCTTCACTTTGTGGAATGTCACGGCGTTCGCGTGTTTCCGATGAAATTGACGTGATATCGAGCAGTGACGATGAGATACCGATGCCACCGTCGAAACCGCCGATAACAATACGTGGTGTTGGCCATATTACAATGTGAGATTCGTTATCGACTTTTTTTTTGTTTTGTGACAGTGATTTATTATTGGCTCTTCGTTTAAGATGAGTAAGGGCTGACTAGTAGAGACGTTAGTTTCAGTTAAAGAATTCACATATTCGTACGCATTTCCGCACGGCAAAGTGCACCATTGCGGGCTTTGTGTGTGTATGGGGTGATAATTCTTCTGAGAAGCACATTGGCCGAGAAGCTGCAATCGGATAGCTCAAGCTGGTGTCAGAGTCCGCGATCCGTCGCGCGATTCGCGCGAACTGCGCGACAGATCGCGGACTCTCACCAGCCTTATGGTTGTCACTACAGCTTTTCTCCAAGTAGTAGCCATGCTGAGCCTAAAAGAACAGAAAATAGCACATCGCCCATCCGTAATCTTGGGAGAGTCTTACAGCGACCTTTATCGTGCCTGGGCGCGAGTTTGACCTGTAGATTGTGGAGAACGGGGGGGGGCCGCTTCCGAGGACGAGTGTTGTCACACGCATCTGAGGCCCTTACTGCTGACTGGGCAGAGACACCTACTACAGTCCAGCCGCGAGATAGCGGAGATACTACCTAGCCCGCATAAGTTTATGACCAATCAATAGTTGAAAGAGGCTTCTAAATTTCAGATTCGTGAATTTCTCCAAATGCTATGACATCGACAGTGGAGACCAGACCTGGGGCGGTAAGCTTTTACAGAATCGAACTGTTACCGAGAGCCATCTTGTTGGTTGCCATCTGGCCGGGGGAGAGAGAACGCGTCACTCGGCGGGCCGCGTAGCGCGGCGAGTGGTCGGTGCCGCGCGCGCCTGGCCGCGCGCGAAACGCTGGGCGAGAAGCCTGCGCCTGCCACCATTGCGCTCCAATGACAATGAGTTGCTGGCAATTTGCTAGCCCATGCCCTGCCTCCACTCAATCAATAGCGGCAGAGTCAGGAGAATGCCAGCGCCCATTTTCACGGCTAGGCGTGCCTGTTTCGCCACTGTTTGACCCATTTCTGCTGCGGAATGACCCATTGGCCTACTTTTTGTATTCTAGTCCAATAATTTCTGCTACTCAACAGAGTATTCTGTTATTCTCAACAGGGCACTTTATTGTATTCTAAGCTAAATATTTCCTGCTACTATCAAATGGAAGTATTTCTGTATTCAGAGTACCTCTGCATTTAATAGTAAGTCACATGATATTCATTGTGACTAGAACAAGTTTATCTTACAATTCTCGTCCACGCATTCAATTTTTTACCTTATGGTAGACAGTCATTGATTCTGTCACGGCATAGTCTTTGTTAGCTTTGCGTTTTCCTCTTTTCTTGTGGTCTGTGCCAGTGCTAGGTTGTATTGTCCAGGAATTTTTTTCACAATTTCTGGTCATCACACCCCATAGCTGGCGCGACCTAAGATTTTTTGTGTTTGGATTGTAATCAGTTGAACCAACAATTAGATATTCAAAATTTGCTTCTCTGAATACATATTGACGTCTACAATAATCAAGTATTGTCGACGCATGTCAAGATATATTTCAGAGAAGACAATTTGAATAAATCTAATCTGTTGTTTCAACAAATTAATTACAGAATCCAAACACAAAAAAACTTAGGTCGCGCCAGCTATGGGGTGTGATGACCAGAAATTGTGAAAAATTCCTGGACAATACAACCTAGCACTGGCACAGACCACAAGAAAAGAGGAAAACGCAAAGCTAACAAAGACTATGCAGTGACAGAATCAATGACTGCCTACCATAAGGTAAAAATTGAATGCGTGGACGAGAATTGTAAGATAAACTTGTTCTAGTCACAATGAATATCATGTGACTTACCATATCTAGCAGAAGAGTACCTCTGAATAACAGAATACTCCATTGAGTAGCAGAAATATTGGACTAGAATACAAAAAGTGCCTGTTAGCAATATATATACTCTGTTGAGTAGCAGAAATATTGGACTAGAATACAAAAAGTAGGCCAATGGGCCATTCTGCAGAAATGGTGTCAAACAGTGGCGAAACAGGCACGCCTAGCCGTGAAAATGGGCGCTGGCATTCTCCTGACTCTGCCGCTATTGATTGAGTGGAGGCGGGCATGGGCTGGCAAATTGCCAGCAACTCATTGTCATTGGGGCGCAATGGCGGCGGCGCAGGCTCTCGCCAGCCTTTTCGCCGCGCGGCCGAGCGCGGCGGCACCGGAACACGCGCCGCGTACGCGCCGCCGGTGAGCGTTTCTCTCCCCCCGGCCAATGGCCAACCAGCATTTCTGCTTGGTAACTATTCGATTCTGTAAAAGCTTACCGCCCCAGGTCTGGTCTCCACTGTCGATGTCATAGCATTTGGAGAAATTCACGAGAATCTGAAATTTAGAACGCCTCTTTCAACTATTGATTGGTCATGAACTTATGCGGGCTAGGTAGTATCTCGCTATCTCGCGGCTGGACTGTAGAGTGTCTCTGAGTAGCAGTAAGGGCTCCAGATGGTGAAAATGTCTCGAAGGGGTTCTGAGCAACCTATAACAGTTTCAAAATCGCGCCAAGCACGCATAAAGAAGGCTCACTGTAAGATTCACGCTGATGGCGATCGTGCTATTTTTCGTCATAATTAGTCCAAGCCGATGTCTACAATTGGAGCAAAATCTGTCAGACCCAACCATAAGGCTGGTGAGAGTCCGCGATCTGTCGCGCAGTTCGCGCGAATCGCGCGACGGATCGCGGACTCTGACACCAGCCTGAGCTATCCGATTGCAGCGTTCTCGACCAATCTGCTCACTCAAGTCTCGCTTCGTGCTTGTAGATCGAATCATAGTCGCAGCAAACCTGCAAAAGCACTTACGGTCCTGCATAAATCCGCGAAAAAAATCCTTGAAATATTAAGATTGGCTACAAGCAGCGCGGAATGAACTATGGAGTTAGATGAGCGCGACGCGTGGGACGGCCCTCTACGCAAGTTGTGATTACACGTTTGTTCCGCTGCTATGTGATGAGAACGAACTGAAAGTTCTCACAAAGTTGTGTTCGCAATTTCATTTGACAAGATTACTGTGAACAAATTGTTTTTGATAAACAAGCTCCTGACTTCGGTGCCCAGCAGCACTCCGAACATTTTATGGTTGGTTTGTGGAAGCTTCGACATAGCGCAATAAGGTGTAGGGGAGTGATCATCTGAGCCCATCGTGGAGACCAGGTCCGCATTGTGCATATTGTCCCATCTTCTTCATTACCCACATTCAAATCCTTGCAATGAAATGGCTGTGGGAGGAATGCGCCGTGTGGTTTTTAGTGATCAGTGTAAACTTCAGCGTTTGATGGGGGTGTTCTTTTCAGTAATTGTAAAGCCATTAATTTTTTGCAGTGGCTCTCCTTCACTTTGTGGAATGTCACGGCGTTCGCGTGTTTCCGATGAAATTGACGTGATATCGAGCAGTGACGATGAGATACCGATGCCACCGTCGAAACCGCCGATAACAATACGTGGTGTTGGCCATATTACAATGTGAGATTCGTTATCGACTTTTTTTTGTTTTGTGACAGTGATTTATTATTGGCTCTTCGTTTAAGATGAGTAAGGGCTGACTAGTAGAGACGTTAGTTTCAGTTAAAGAATTCACATATTCGTACGCATTTCCGCACGGCAAAGTGCACCATTGCGGGCTTTGTGTGTGTATGGGGTGATAATTCTTCTGAGAAAGGGGCAAAAGAAACCGGTTTCCTCATTGAGCAGCTTGTTACTAACACACTTCCTTTTTCAATTTGTGGCCTCCAAACCAAAGCAAAAGGAACAACTTGCATCGCGAGGGCAATGATGTTGCTCAATTAAGGTTACACTCTCAGAAAGAAGAAGTCTCGTGATTTTCCATTCTCTCAGGAGGCGACTTACATAAGTCCTAACAAGTGATCGAAGTTGTGAAATATTTGTCGTGAATGTTGTTGAAATGAACTGTCAGATTTATATCAAGCAACGAGTTTTTTTTCGAAATACGGAGTAGTCAATTCCGAGTGTTTCTTATTATGTCGTAAAAGGAAACTGTATGATTAAGTAATAAGAAGTGAAATGAGAAAATAGACATAAGTCTGCTTACCATGTCAAAGGCTATAGATGTTTCGAACTTTTATGTTGCCTTTTTGCACTATAATCAATACATTCTTGAAAGGTCGTTGGACTTGTCGCTCTGTACTTCCCTGAATTGCGTGCGTGAGCAAATGCACCATTAGATGACGCAAAAGCTCATAAAGGGATAGAAAGTTGAAGAGGAAAAAACGGTGGAGTGCTTTGTGGTTTTGAAAGCACTTGGAGTGTGATTGTTTTTATTTCAATGTGCTAAAGGCGCGAAATACATTCGAGAACAACAAATTGGTAGCATCCTCCTTCTTTTATGGAAAGCTTCACTCATTTGCGCCATTTCTGGCAATGATATAATTTTTTCTTCCCTTGATAGTGTTCCTAGTTGCAAAATTGTTGATTTTGTATTTATTTAGTTACTGGCCACGAAGCTGTTTTAAAATAGGATACAGTTATTTTGTAGTTGAATTATTCAGTTTGCAACTCCAAAAGTTGGATAGAAGTTTGGATTAGCCTACTGCATCTTAAGCCACCGTAACGTGACACTTGTTTACGCCACGTTTTTAGAGTAGCTGACGGATATTTCAATTTGAATAACATCTTTGTTAAGCCTTGCTGTCGTCCATACTGCCTCATAGAGCTCAACATTTGCAACTGGATTCGCTTACCTGTTCTCTTTTGCTTTTTACTACTTTAAAAGGGTCATTGCTTAGTGTTGAATCGGCATCTTTTTCTTGCTCGAAGTTTCAATGATTTGTGTCTACGCTCCTTGCAACCAGTCCATTTATCAGCACTTTTCGGTGGGAAGAAAAGAACCGTAGTCGTTAAATGTACTTTCAAGGGGTTTTGCAATAATTGCGGAAGTGCACTGGTGTGTTCACGTACTTTGCACTCAGCGCTTCCATGCAAAATAAAGAGCTGAGAGTGTTCGTCATGGAAAAACAAAAACTCCTGAACACCTTTGTGCCAAGGGGCGTTTAGACGATGTTGGTGCGAATTTTGTAGAAGGGCTTCAATAAATGCAGATGTTGATAGTTAGAGGCGTTAACTTGAAAAATGTCTTTGAAGTTAGATTGTCTTGCGAAATCGAAATTTTCGAGAATTTTCAACATTCTTATTTAATGACATCATGGTCAGTTGTATCGTTGGACTTTTGGAGGGGTTGTGTTGGGGACGCCCTCCGGCAGGGCGATCACCCCATTTCCAAACGTGACGGTTGATCCTAGTTGATAAGTAAGCTGCCCCTTATTGTAGATTTTCCGAAATGTTGTTAGGATTTTGTTAGTTTTCTCTCTCACTAGGTATTGCACTCAACAGAATCTGAAGGAGTTGTAGATGCTAACAATGTCCGTGCACATTTTTTTATTTATCTAAGACTTTTTTAGGTTCGGTTTGAATTCCCGGTTCGATACGGAATTTCCCAGTGAGTTAATTGGAAGAGTCGCTCCTGAAGAGTTATCGGATACACTTGGACGTATTAATAATGTACTGAAACGACATGTTCAAATGTCTAGGTGAGTGATTCAAGTCTTTTGGAAAATAAATACAAATGCTGAATACGAACAATTTTATACTAATTATAATAATAATAAAGTTCACTTTTTCAGCCGATGGCTGTTATGTGGCTTGCTGTTTTGTTGCTGTTCATTTCGGATGCTCACTGTTCCCTGTTGTTTGCCTCAATAGAAGGGTCAGTTTCGACTTATTCTTGGCTTCTCTCCTTACCAGGCAGATATATCATATTATATCATGTATATTATATCAAGTTAACGCAGTATAACGAAGTGACGCCATCGCGTCCTCACTCCATCACGCTTCTAACTAATGCGCGGCTCCTTTCCAAGTTGTTTGTATTTATTATTTAGATCACACATCAAGCTTACCATCAACCCCGTGGCACTGTACGCAGCTCGACTATCGAGAAAGATGGCGTGAATGCGCACATTCTAGTTTTCAAGCAACCATGTCAGTGCTTTCCATCCCCTCTACCTTTCCTGAACTGAACTAATATTTCCCCTTGTTTACGCACCCTTTTGCTTAATGTTATCATTATCTCGATGCGAGAGCGGGAATTTTTTTTTATTTAATCTACTCATCCTTTATGCTGAGACTTTATGCCTGTAGATGATATTTATCCCTCATAACTTTCGCCTAGCAAGCGGTTCAACTTTACTTCTTTTTGAGCGCCATACCTCCTCGTCTAAAGTCTCTCATAGGAAACCACTAGATTTTCATTACCTTGTTATGGACAACAAATCTTCATATCATGCGTTGTCATGGACTCCTAATTGCGGAACATTGTATTCATCTTCGCGGTGCTTTTAGGGTGTCCCTTAACAGGCCTACCGCGCGGCGAAGCCCAATGAATGGCGGCTGTCGCAAAGGGAGACGAGGTTTGCCGGCGCGCTGGTTGCGAATTGGGACGTAGTATGAAACACCTTCAGCCTACCGCGGTAACCCTCAGATATCCACTGCAACTCGCCGCACCGCGTCTGGCCGGACGCATAGTCGGTCGGACGACAGCAACGACTGCTGCTGTCGGACGACAGCAACGACTGCAGGTGTCGCATAAACCGCGGTCGCAAATGGAAGGCGACGCGGTCACCCAATGCAAACCCAGACAACACGTGACTGCGCGTGATCGTATTTCGAAAGTCCCACTGTAGTGTGGAATAGTAGCTGCGCATTGATCTGCCGACACTTGCGGTCGTTGCTGTCGTCCGACAGCAGCAGTCGGACGACAGCAACGACTGCAAGTGTCGCAGATCGATACGCACCCAATACTGTGCGACACTTGCAGTCGTTGCTGTCGTCCGACCGACTATGCGTCCGCCTCTGCGTCTCTTGCTTCGCCGGCGGTGGGCCTGTTGGGGGACACCCGGTGCCTTTACATACGGCTGGCTCACTTCTGGATCAGTTCTTCAGTAGTGCATTATTGAGCCAGAATATTAGAGAACCAAATATTTTTCAGCGTATTGGTGACCAGTGTGCTTACCGTGGACTTCTCCAGTTCCTTACTGTCTAGATAAATTGTGCGCTAGTGGGAGAGTCTCAGGGACGGGGAGGGCTTGTAAGGTCGATTCGAACAGCTAATTGTCGCACAATTCCCGTTTAAAGGTGAAGAGCCCTCCATGGAGACATCGAGGGTTGTCAGGCTATGAATCGCGGCATTTGTTATAATGATTCTAGTGGGTGGGCTAATGAAATGTGAAGGAGATGGCTGGAACAGTAATGTGGGGTCGGCAACCGGCTTGGAATGTTTGCGAATGCTCAATGAGTTGCCGTCACCCCTTCTCATCATCGTCCTTTTTGACCTTTTTGCTCCGTCCTGAGGAATATGGTCTGGGAGGGAAATACGCTGTATCGTTAGCGGAGCGTAATGGGTACCAAACCCCGTTATTAGAGTCATCAAATTTGGGGCTGATTCGGAAAAAAAGAAGGAAAATGAAAGTTTCTAGAATAATCAAGGGCTACTGTATGCACACCGAGCTGGGTATTCTAGTAAGATTAAGGAGCAGTACTCTTTCGTTTCAGACAGTGACAGCCGTCGAAAAGACATTGGATCACGAGAACATTTGTCTCTATCACAAACTCGGTCTTCATTGGCGCCTAGTGAAACGCCCAGTGGATGGCTCGCGTTTAACCGAATATGTGTTGGAACTTCAAACTCTTCCTAAGGTTCAATTAATGTTGCCGGATTGACATGTGATTCCTACATTCGAATTATTTTCCTTTCGTGTATGATTTTTTTGCTGAAAGGAGTCATAACTAAGGACAGAGTTGGAGGGAAGCACTTTGAAGCATGGGTTTTACAGTTGAGATGCATTCGCGCTGGAATTAGCGTTTTCGGGTTGTTGTCTTTTTGTGAGGACTACGAGCGCAGCAAACTTTGCTTGCTATTGAATATTCAGCAGCAATTTTGCGTTTCGAAATTTTGCAATCGGGTCTTTGGTATCGTTTGTACATAGGGAAAAAGGCAATGGTATACGTACATAGTCAGCGATGGAAAAGTGTGCTTTAGCCCAGTCTGGCCTCGAAGTTCTTTGCTCGAAAGGCTACAAATCAGCGGTAATGGAATAAGAGCAAATAATGAGTTATCCGGGTGCCTCGATGTATATTAAAAATTGTTCTATTCAACAAGCTACTCTACTTTGGTTGCCCTCCCTTTTCCGACGCGGGTAGGTTTTGGCTCTGATGGCTCTTGATAGCGTTGAGTCATTGGAGAAATGGCCCGAGCAAGTTGCACATGAAATTACCATGCATCGGGATGCGCCCTAAACCTAAATTCAGGAGCTGTAGCTCTTCATAATCGACACGTAAGGATGACCTCCTGGCTGGGATTTGGACTAATTTACCTCCCAAATTCAATGACACTCCTACAGATGTGTGAAAGTCGTTTTGAGTAGTACGTCGTCAGGGTGTGGTTCACTAGAACAAAAAGCGAATATTTGGCGCATTTTTCGCTGTAGGAACCCCAGGACCAGCGGTGGACCTGAGGTTCCCGCTGCGAAAAAAGTTTGCGTGCGAAAAGCGAAAAAGTCGCTTTTTGTCCCAGTGAACCACACCCCGTGATCAATAGAAGACGTCAATCCGTTCCATCGTCGTTCGGGAAGGAGTAACTTGCCTCATTTCCGCGACATCGTGCTGCTAAGCCTACTGCCTGCTGAAACCGTCCTGCATCATGCTGGAAAAGGGAGTGTAATCTCAATTATAGTGCGCAATAAGTAAAAAGACAATGCAGCACCCGTCCGCAAGTATTGGGCTGGACTGTCAAGGTTCTGTCATGGGATATGGCTCTTATACGTAAGCATGAGGATTCCAGGTGTTGAGCTTGTTACGGTGTGTTGTCATTTATGTGAGTAGGCAGATACGGGCAGCTGACGACGACTGTCAGACTCGCACAATAGCGAGTTTCAGGCGTTCGATGTGAATAATCGATTGTAGTCAGCTGTACGTGACTACAAACTAATAAATGATCACGGTTTTATGGCACTTTTTGATCGCTAGGCGTTGTGATATGGTTTCCAGAGCCTTTTGTCAGATCAATATATCTATCAACGCCTACTCGTTTGGTATTATTTGATTCGTTCGTGAACAAAAACATTTTACATAGTTGATATTCTAGTGTGTTTGCTGTCATTGTTGTCTCGTTAGACGGTCATATCTTTTCGGTGTAGACCTCGCTGTATGTACATTATTATAGATGTGGAAAAATCGCCTAAAATTTGAATTGTAAAGAAAAAATGATATGGGTAGTGAAAAGCTATTAAAAACTGTGTGTGTTAGTAGAAGCGTTTAATTGAGATCACCTTATCGATTTGTGCGGTGAAGATAATCACGATGTGCACTTGATGTAATGATGTGAGTCAAGAAAGCTTTAGAAGTAACCAATGTGTATTTGATGTTTTTTGGTTACTTTGTATACAATGATTTAAATTCGATGAAAATGTTTATGGAGTATGGTGTGACATTGTTTTTATTTGTTGGTGAAATTCCGCAAACGATACCTATTTGTTTTTTGTTTATATGTCAGGACTCAGATTGGGATGAAAAACTCGTGGGACATACAAGCTCGAAAAAAGGAAGTTTGTATATTGATTTTGAGAGGAATTGAGGCCTTTCGTTTCTTTCACAATTGTCATAGAATATGAGAAGCAAGTTTGATGGCAGTTTGAGAATAACTCCCGCTTCTTGCCTTCCCACGTACCCTCGCCTTCAAATGACCAGAAATTGTGCAATTGCAGAAATTGACGTGGCATTGGCACACGTGGCTAAATTCTCGATGAAAAGGTGACATCACGTGTGCTCAAAGATGTTCTTGAATCGATGCCACGTCAATTTCTGCAATTGCACAATTTCTGGTCATTTGAAGGCGAGGGTAATTGCGTCGAGAGTGTGTTTGTGGTTCCACATGCTTTGCTGTGCCACTTGCCTCGTCTGTCGAAGTTTGCCTGTTTTTCGGATTCGTTTCCAATCTATATCATAAGCTTGAAGCAATTTGGCTGTCAGGAACAGAATAACAGGCTGTCCTTGACTTGCGTTTTCTGTGTTTTTCGCTTTACTAGTTTTATATCCCCAGACCTGTGATGCCCAGAGCGGTCAGCAAATTGGTGCTACATTTATCTGATGGATGAAACTACGGTCTTGTACATCAAGAGACCGCTGCACGGTTTGTAAGCCAAATGGCATTCAACGTGTTCTCACGATTCTGAATGGAGTGAATGCAGTGGCGTGGCTGGCACTTTCCGAAAAAGATCGATCAACGCCTGGCCAAAGGATTCACTCCTCCATATAATTCCTCCTAAAATATAAAAGCAAAATGGGCCATAGAACGGCTTTGTTTTCCTATTAAGGTCTTCGAGGCCGCCGGTGGAGCACATTTCCTTCCGTAGGGGACTCGTTGTGCTCAATCTGTGTATGTTTTGCTTGTTCCAGAGCGGCTCGTTTATATTATCGCACAAAATTATGCAAGGGTAGACGACTATTGATGAAAACACTTCAAGAAAAAAGATGCTGCAATACTTCATCGTCCAGAGGTCACCTACTTAACCAACATCTGCTATGAATGCCCATATTGATGGCAGAGATCAGTGAGTGGAAATGTGTTGACGCACCTCTAACTTCTCCTTGTTCATTCTTGGTTACCACAAGCCAAAATACCTCGCTCAGATAGTTGACATTAAAAGGAAACGAAGTCTTACTTATTATAGAGCTGCACTATTGCAATAGCCAGTCAATTTTTACTCGAGCCAAGTATTTCGCTAAACATTTAAGACGCAGAGAGTTTTTTTGTCCTTTTGTCTGTTTTAGATAGGCTAGACTACTGCAATAGATTAGTGCTTGTTATTGTTTAGCTAGCGCTTTCCCTACTACATACAAGGTTAGCTAGAGTTGGAATTCCTTTCATCGTCTACAACGACGATCCCCATCGATCGCAATAGTCTCATCGTCTGGGACGACGATCTAATCTTGGCCTCGCCCCTTTTATGATACGAGGTCAAACAGGCCCACCAAAAAGTGTGGTCTGCATTGTTCCTCCAACAGCGGCAAGAAGAGTACCTGGGTTACTGTTCGACGATTACTTTTGCATTCTGCCAGTCGCGGCTATTTGATTTGTTGTTCAGCATCTATCTGAGTCTCAAACCACCTACTAATTCTGTGAAGATATGTCATTGCATATGCGATATTTGTGATTTGGGCTTGCCAGAAAACATGAGTGGATGTATGAGTGTCAAATCAAAAGAACTATTCAGTTAGTAAAGCTAATGTTTGGCGCAACTGGAACTGTTTGGAATGTAACTTGCAGAAATCTATTCACTTCGGCTTGGATTGAAAACGTGTTCCATTGTATATAACGCAGTTAGCTTCCTTTGATACAGTGTCGTAGTTCAGCAATTCGATGAAATTTGACGTTTTTAGCAGTTTTGATAAGTTAGGTTTTCTTTGTGTGTACGTTCGTGCGTGTGGAATTGTTTACTTGGTCGATTTTGATCGGGTTATTTCAGATGTCAAAGAATATAAAAACACCTACAAATCAAAAGCTGCTCACCAATGTGGCAGTAGTACGAATGAAGAAGATGGGTAAACGTTTCGAGATCGCCTGCTATAAGAACAAGGTCGTCAATTGGAGGAATAAAACGTGGGTCTTTTGAGAAGTTCGTCGTTTGGTTGGTTTTTCTTCATAGAATTTTTCACGAAGATGGAGGAAGCCTTGTTAAATATTAATTCGCCAAGATCGCCTTGGTCAGATTCCCAAAGGGGTGCCAAGACTGCTACCATGCTCGTGGAAGATTTCGTTGAAGAAAACTTTTACATCAATGTAGTGCCGATGTCTATGTAAAGCAGTGTAAGGAGCTTGTATTCTGAGAGCGGTTTGCGAAACAGGGAGGGCGCAATGTGGCTCGGAGGGGGGCCAGTCGCCGCGCGCGGCGTTGCGGCAACAGGAAATTCGTGAGCCAGGGGGAATGTAGCCAATTCAGGGGGGTGGGGGTGAGGGCAGTCACTTAGCATGCGTGAGAAGCTGGAATGTTCCGTGAGAAGCTGGAATGTTCGAGTTACACTACATCGCTGAGCCGCGCGCGGCGACTGGCCCCCTCCGAGCCACATTGCGCCAAGGATGTTCTAATCGACCTATTTTATAACGATTGGAGCAGTTACTCGACGATCCTAATGTCTCCTCGAACTCCCACCATTATTTTTGCTAGAGAGCGCTTCTAAGAGGGGTATTTTTGGTCTTCTACACTGAAATCATGGGACACTATTTCTCTCTAATAAATCTAGAACTAGATGAATGATAAGTGTAAATTTCATTACGGTCGCTTTGACCTTGAAAATCGAATAAGGCACGCCCTGGTATATAATTTCCTTTCTTGCTTGGTAGGAAATGGGAGGATACCAGGCGGTTGATCACGGTTTCTTTGTTCACCTGTGATCAGCTTGTTGTTGTAGCAAAGGAAAGGATG